TATCTGGAAGCTGGCCAGTATAAAAACAGCTCTGTGCTAAGAACTCCCCGTGGAGGCCGGGCCACACAAAAAATAAATAAAAAACATCTGAAAACAAATCCTTAGGCGCCATGTCAGCCGGGCCTGAATATGTTCCTTCTTCACCGGAGCTTCATTCCGACACCCCCATGGTTGCTACACATGAGGCGCTTACGGCAGCAACGCCTCCCTTCACGAGTGGGGACGTGACTCCGGGCTTTCAGCCCTGCCCATCGCAGGATACTGATGTGTGCCTCGCCCAGTGCAATGCAATGCGCCCTGTGCAGGCAAGTGGCAACCAGCTTTCGATGCCGAGCTTGAAGCTTTGTGTGGCCAACTAGGCATAGTTGCACGACCCCGTGCCGGTCCAGTCTGCGCCCGCTGCTGGTGTTGCTTCCGTTGCTGCGGCCGTGCCTGTTGTTGCTGCTGCTTCTGCTGCTGTTGGGCCGGCAGTGGTTCCCCGAGGTGCTTTCGCCGCACCAACACCCCCTGAACCCGTTGCGCGTTTGCCTGAGCAAGCCGTAGGTGCCCATCCCTGGACAGACGTCGGGCCCCGACTTGCCGGCGACCAGGTGCCCGCAACTCTCCAGGATGTTGCCGCCTTGGATGGCCGACGTGTCCCGGAGGCCGAAGCCTCGCTGGTGCCTTCCATCCGCGCAGCCGCGGCCTTTTTGCCTTTCCACGCACTTGTGCATTTTCGGTGGGTTCTCGAGCAATGCCTGTCACAAAACCGCTATGTTCCTGCCTCCGCACAGGAAGCGTTGCTGCAAATCTTCCTGGGCGAGCGTGCTGCCTCTGCTGATCGGTTACGCGCGGGCGCTCGCCCCGCCCCACCGGCGGACAACCCTGTGTTCACACGAGTTCCGGAACAACAGCCGGCCACTCCAAGCCGTTCCCCTGCTGCAGTGGTGGCTCCCGTACCTGCTTCATCACGGTGCTTGCCAGTTGCAGCTCCTTTGTTTTTGCCTCGAATGCCGGAACTTGAAAGCCCACCCGTGCGAGCAAGCCCTTGCCCGGCTTGACCAGGTTGATTTGCCACGTGTCCTTCAGCAGCAGCGCTTGTTTTTCCAAAGCCCCCCGAAGTTCCTCCGCCCTTTCCGGGCGGCCTTGTCTCTTGCCCTGCGGGCCATCGACTCCGCCAGGCCTGACAACGAGACCGAGCAGACTCGAGCGTGGATCCTTTGGTTGTTACTGCCCCGTTTGCTTCTCCACCGGCGCCCCGGCACTCACAGGCTTCCCAAGCCCGAGTGGCGTGCCCGGCTTTTGGATTTCCAGGCCGGCCGGTGGGAGGCACTGCTTGAGTCCGCCGCTGCGTGCGTTCCAGCTGCAACCGGTGCCCCGCCCCCCGCCGCCCCGGCCGATCCAGCACGTCGGCCAGGGCGAGCTTTCAGCTGCGAGTGTTGCATTGGTTTCTGGACCCTTGGCCCCGCTCACACCCGCCACCCTGGCCGAGTTACAGGACCCCGCCCGGAGGCCCGTTCTGCCGTCTGGCGTTGGATGATTCGTGCTGCCTCCGCCCTGGCTCGGGCGAGAGTCCCACCGTGCATCGCAGCGGCCTTTGGCCTAGGGCGCATGGTCGCCCTTCAGAAACAATGGGCGCGTCCGGGGGGATCGTGGTTGGTGACTTCTTGCGCGCAACCATCCTGTCCGTCCATGGCGTCAGCGCATTTGATACCATCAGCCGACAAGCCATGCTGCAGGCCTTGTCCAGCACTCCCGGCGCCAATGTGTGCTTGCCTTTCGTGCGCCAGTTCCACTCTGACCCCTCCCGGTTTGTGTAGCATGACGCTGACGGCCAGGCCCACCTGATTTCGCAGGCGGAAGGCGGCGAACAGGGCAACCCGTTGATGCCTGCTTTGTTCGCCTTGGGTGAGCATGCGGCTTTCGCCGAGGTGCGTCGCCAACTGCGTCCGGACGAGTGTCTGTTGGCCTACCTCGATGACATTTACGTCATCACGTCGCCGGAACGTGCCCGGGTTGTTTTTGACTTGCTGTCTCTGCACCTGCACCGGCACGCACATATACAGCTCCACCGCGGTAAGGCGCGAGTTTGGAACGCGTCCGGACTGGAGCCACCTAACATCCGAGAACTAGGATCGGTCACAGATCCAGTGTGGGTCGGAGACCGGGGCCGACTTTGCCCTCCAGATCGCCCAGCTTCCTTTCCAGTAAGGCGGCCTCAACCTGCGGTCTGGCGCTGCGCTAGCCCCGGCTGCGTATTGGGCGTCGTGGGCAGACACGCTGCCCGTGCTGCATCGCCAGCCCCAACTTTGGCCGGGGAGATCCTAGCGAGGCTTCGTGCCCAGGAGCCTGCTGGATCTGCACTTTCGGGCGTTCCCCAGGCCCAGGACGCGCTGACCACGGCAGGGTTTCGCCCGCCTTCTTGGGAGGAGTTGCTTGACAATCCAGCCCCGCCGTCATCTTTGGCACCTGCCCGTGCCCAGCGCCCGGGGCTGGCAAGCGCCCGCTGCCATTGCCATTGCTGAACAACTCCAAGCTGCCCTACTGCCACGGCTTGACGCTGCGTCCCAAGCGTTTTTGTTTTCCCAGACTGGGCCTTTCAGCAGCCGCCCTTTCTGCAGTGCAGCGCCAATCCAACACCTTCTGCGCACGCCATGGAAACCTCCACAAGTGGCGTGGCAGCTTCAGGGCAAGGTCCCCGCCCCGGCGTCCTGCAGCAGCCCAATCTACACCAGCGTGCCGAGCTGCTCGGAGCTTGCCCACTCTCCTGCGCTGTTCCGCGGGCTTCTGTCGCCGCAGCTGCCGATGTGATCGCCCTTTCAACCCTCGTGCAGCTTGCCCCTAATCAGGTGCTTTGCGCAGTCGCGGCTGCCTTCTTGAGCGCGCCTTGTTACTGATGGGTGGGCGATGGAGCTGCGAGACTGCTGACTTTTTGCAGCAGCTCTTTCCTACCAAGCGCCGACGCCATGCAAGCCTTTGTTGCCAGCCTGTCCGCCTTAACGGCCCTGAGCCCACTGTGAGTGACGCGTTTGTGGACCGCACTGGCCCCTGTCCGAGGTGTTCGCCAGCCGGCTTTCGGTGCACCGGGGTCGGGCGCACATCCTTGGCTGTGCAGGACGTCTTCGGCGCTGCCGAGGTGGTCATTGTCCTTGCACACGCCTTCGACATTCTTTGCCTTTTTGCTGTCGAGGCAATTTACCGTCAAGGAGTTCGGTCCTCGTTCTTGGATTGATGTAGGGCCACCGCCGGCAGGACACCGGCTACCCACCGCCAACAACTGGCTGTTTTTCTTAGGCTTCCCGAGGATTCAGTGGACCGCCGCCCACGCCCCGCGCTGGATTTCCTAATTAGCCAGTTCTTGCAGGGCCGCTGGCGCAGCCACCCCAGCCGCCCTGCCCTTGTTCCTGGCCAGTTCGGGCCTCCATTGCTCGAGCGGGGCCTATTCGGCCTGCTCCTGCGCAGCGGTGCCTCTTCTTGCAGAGTTCGCCGAAGTTCCTGTACAGCGAGTTCGGGCCGCTTTGTGCTTTGTTAGTGGCCCTGCAGGGCATTGATGCTGCCGGGTCCGAAGACGCCGCAGCCCAAGTTCGTGCGTAGTGACTAAACCATACTAAGCCCGACTGGCGGGCTCGACTGTTGGACTTCCATGCTGGTCGGTGGGAGGTCTTCCTCGACCATGCTGCTGCCTGTGCCCTTTCTGAAGCGCCCCTGCCCCATTTGATGCCGATCGTCGCGCTGAGCGCGCGGCAGGTGCACCGCCTGTGAAGCGAAGCACGAGCAGCGAAGAGGCAAAACCAATGCTGGAATGTGGCTCCCCGTTCGCCCTGCTGACCTGCGCCTCGCCTGTTAGCCAGCAGCCCCACTTCCTCCTGGCTTTCCAAGGGGGATGCTGGCCCGAGCACTCCCACCCTAGCTCATTCCGAAGCAGCTCGTTCTCACAGCGCTAGAAGTATTCAATGCATTCTTGAGTGTACACTGCACGTACATACGCGACATGCATGGCTATGTGCACATCCACCCGGTTCTTACAAATGCTTTTGCAGCTTGTTGTTGGTGAGCAGGATAGCATGTACAGATTGTAGTGCGTTTTGAACATCGTGCATGGCGGGCTCAAATTTAACGTTCAGCGTGTCCCTGCGCAGTCAATCATGGTAGCCAACATGGGAGCTGCCAGAGCGTGGGTGCGGATGGTTGTTGTCATCGTTTTGGCGTGGCATGCTGTCCCGTCTGCTTTCAGTATTTGCATCAACAGGTTCGTTGCCATCAGAAGAGGTGGCCCTGGCTGGAGCCATTCGCTCACTGCAAGGCATGCGGTCAAGTTCGTAAAAAAGTCCCAAGCAGTGTATGCGCCAGTGGACATCGAGGAATTCTACACTGCAACCATTGGTGGTGAAGGGGGAGCACCAGTGGGTTTGGAACGGGATTTGATCACCCGTTACTTTGGGGATGGTGATTTCCACGGCAAGGGCGATCATGCGGCAGCGTTCCAGAACCTCAAGGACTCCATGCAGAAAGGCGAGCCCTTTGTTGGGGAGGACGATGGCAGTGGCTGGATTTGGGCGGTGGCCGGCCTGAACGTGAACACTGGCCTGACTTTGGAGCTCCGAAAGTCCACGCCGCTGGGCATGCGCGCCTTGATGGTGGCCAGACAGGGCAACGTAGAGGAAATGTTCAGCACGCTGAACTGGAAATTGGTCAGGCTTGGGTTTCTGCTTTCGGCATGCCACAGCCAAGGATGGCTAGCAAAGGCGCAGGTCAGGAACCAGGTTGCTTAGCATTTTGCAAGCCCGCAGCAGTTTGGAAACAGGTGACTCTTCACTTCATTTGCCCTGCCAGGCGGCGGATGAACGAGCTGTTGGGCAAAAGAGATTCTGACGGTCAGACTGTTCCGGGCTACCCGCCCCCGTGAGAAGTAAGCTGAGTGTCGCGTGACCTCGTGAGAGCCAAAAAGGAGCCGTGCTGGCAAGGAGTACGCTGCGCGAGCAACAAGAAAGTTTTTATACTCTTTTTTGGCCGTCGCCAAGGTCTTCACAGCAGCAACAACAGCAGCAAATGCAAATGCAGAGTCTTTGCTGCAAAGATTTGCCAAATTGGCAACATATTGGACTCAAGCTTTCTTTTGCAATGCCTGGGCGCACCGACTGGCTGTCCCCTTGGCAGAGTTGTTGTTTCGCACGGAGTCGCTGGCTGGCCAAGGTAGTCATGCCAGCAATGCTAATCCCAAATGTGTTTAGTCCAGGGCTGATTTAACACGGGTGAAGGCCTGGCATCCATGATTTGTTCCTAGCCAAGGATGATGATGATGCAGCAGATGGCTATGCAGCAACAGATGGGGCAAATGTCATTCAGCTGCAAATTGCAATGCAGCACTTGAACTTCACAGCGCGTGGAGTAGTGCAGAGAAGGTCGTGCAGGGTAGTGGAGTGGAGTGGAGTGAGTGAGAGAGAGAGAGAGAGAGATAGAGGGAGGGAGGGATGACAAGACAGCGAGAACGCAGGAAAGCAAGGAAAAATACAAAGAAAGCAAATGATGAAGAAAACAAAGAAATAGATGAGAAGAAAGAAGGAAGCAAGAAACGAAAAGAGAAGAGCGGAAAGAGACAGAAAGAGACAGAAAGAGACAGAAAGAGACAGAAAGAGACAGAAAGAGAAAGAAAGAGAAAGACAGAGAAAGAGACAGAAAGAGACAGAAAGAGACAAAGAGAGAGAAGAGACTGAACGAGAGAGACAGAGAGAGAGAGAGAGAGTCAAACGAACAAGACAGTTTCTATGGAAGAGAGAAAAGACAACAAAGAAAGAAGGACCCGGCTGCCGTGGCTCTCATTACGCTTCATGTTTTTTTCTGCTCAGGTCACCCCAAATGCTTGCTGCAATGCAAGCACAAGCCGCATTTTCAGGGAGGTCTGGCACTGCTCCGCAGGAGGCTTAAAATGAGAAGCTCCCGGTTGAAATACCGTTGCGTGTTTTTGGCAACTCAGGAGTAATGGCTTGAATGCCAACGCGCCAGAGTGCGGCGCACAGACCTTTCACGTGCCACTTTGTTTGATTGGGATTGGAAGCGTTCCTCACTGTCTTATAGGTTCATTCCCAAGCCGGACCTTGCCACGTTGGTCCCACCTGTGCACGAGCTGAGGTACGATCCCTCTGCTTTGGGCAAGCTGGAGGAAAAGCTGCAGGTTCCTTTGCAGCTGCTTCGAAGGGCTGAACTGCCACCATGCACATCATGGCCGTCATGGCCCCTGTAGTGGAAACAGTGAACGAAGCAGCAATCTTGTTTGATGCTGCGCCCCAGTATGTCTTGACAGCAAGCGACATTTACGGATTTTGCCCAGTGATCTTTGAGCCTTAACCACCCTTGAGGGGCAAAGCTTCAGCTTGCCAGGCAGCAGTGTGGGTGCCCCAGGGGGCAATTCTGGCGAAGTCAGCCGGCTTCAGGTGATGAGCAACACACCTTGGGTGACCGTTAAGTGGAGCTTTGGGTCATTGGTTTGAGAAACGGGCTACCTGGTTGAGAGACCAAACTAATCTGCTGGGGGCGATGGCGATCCGCAAGGGAGAACAAGCACAGTCGTCAAGAGTTGTGGGAGCTGAAGGGCGGGCTGAGGCCTCAGAAGGAGGCCACGACTCTGGAGACGGTCACGGTGCCAACCTCGAACAGGGGCTAAATTGGCTTGAGGTTTGTACTCGGGGGCGGAGGGGATGGTATGGTAGGGGTTCCATGACTGCCGCCTGTTTAGAGCTTACCACTTCGACATTTTGGTTTCCAAGCTTCGGGGGCCAATGGACGATATCTACAAAGAGGACTAGTCTGAAGCCCGCTGGTGAAAAAGGCAGCGCTGGCTCTTCTGGCATGATGGCATTTTTCTTCGGACGTTCTTTTGCCATGCCCATGCCGAGTTGCAGCGGATCACTTTGTTCGCTTGCAAACTATTGCTCGTCATTTGACTTGCAGGTCTCAGTCTGGACATGGGCTTCAGCAGGTTCAACTTGAGCAGCCTTTGTCAGGTAGGTCTATTCCTGGAGGAGATTGCCTACTTCATGGAGGCAGCACCAGGGCTTTTGGCCTGAAACAGGGACAGGGACACCTTCAGGTCAAATGGGTGCAAAATGGCGCTGGAAGGCAAGCCTTTGCTCCAGAGGCCGATGCTTCGTGCGACATGTGACGCTACCAGGACATGGAGAAAGATCTTTGGTGGCTGCTACGAATGGCGCACCAGTCGGCAGGGGTCTCAGAGATCCAGGCCTTTGGGCACTGCAAGCACCTGGCGCGTGCCCCAACCCTTGAAACGGTGCTGAGCAATGACTCAACGACAAACTGTTGGAAGAGGCCTTGTAGCTCACGGTTTCAATTATCAGCGCTGTGCCTATAAGTTCAGGAAACACTGCTTACCGGTCGGAAATAGAACAATACTTTGCAGTCCAGAAAGAGCACAAACACTCTGATCCTCGCTGCGCTGAGGGCGGAGCCCCAGAGTTGCTGACGGGCGACGAGCAGATTGAGCCGGTGGATGCTGCTGTGGAGGCGGGTGCCTGCCGAAGAGGGTAGTTTCGGGTAGTTTCTCAGGAGTGGGATGCTGCCAAATTCAGTGTTTTCAAAGGAGGTTTGTTTCTGTGCGCTGTGTGAGTGTGTGTGCCTGTGTGTGTGTGTGTGTGTGCGGAGTGACAGAATAACCCTGTCACCAAACTTGTCAGCAGGGGGCTTGAGGCTTCTCATAAGGACTCAGGCCAACGAAGACGCCTGATGAGAAGTGTGATGCAATCCGGGACGCTGGATTGTGTACCTGCAATGGTTGTGCAAAGTCCTTTTGGCCCGCTGTTTCTCTCGCTGTGTGTGCCTCATGTTGGATTTGGTAACGTTTTCGACACTAAAGAGAAGCCAAGTCAAGTGTCGCGCAAGCCGAAAATCCACCCACTCGAGACTCACCAGTTGTACTCAAAAGATGAGATATCTCCCTTGGGTGTTTAAGTGTGGTTACCCCGTCTCGGGGGCCTTGGATGTACCCATTGTATTGTGTGACCCCGGGCCGGCCTTGCTGGAAATTTTGACCTCAACGTTCTGATCATAGACCAGCGGAATTTCACATTGAAGCAGACACGAGGTTTCACTAAAGGGAAGACAGCGTCATATCTCATGGAGCAGGCGGAGAGGGTGTGTGTGGGTGCGTGTGCGTGCGTGCGTGCGTGCGTGCGTGCGTGCGTGGGTGTGTGTGTGTGTGTGTGTGTTGTGTTGTGTTTGTGTTGGGTGTGTGTGGGTGTCCGTCTTCTGGCTCGTCGCCCGTTTAGGGATGGCTTCTGCTTCCTCCCGTTCTCTTCTTCCTGTCTTTCGTGACCCGCGCGTTTGTCTTCCTTCTCTTCGCCCGCTTAGGGGTGGCCTGTTTGTCCCCTTCGTCGTCTTTTTTCCTGTCTGCCTACCTGCTCCCACTCCTCGTTTTCCGCACGCAGTTTGGCTTGACGTATTCTTTCCCTTCGGTTGCTTTTTCGTGCTCGTCCTTCTTCCTCGAGCCTTGGCCTACATCCTCGGTTTCTGCCTGGGCGGGATGCGACGCCCTAAGTACGCCCTACACACCCCTTCTTTTCCCTTCTGTTCCCTTGTTTTCTCCCCCTTTTCTCCCTTCTTCCCTTCCTGTCCTCGTTCCCATCTCCTTTCCCGGGCGGGCTGCCACGCCCTAAATACGCATTTCGCCCCTTTGTCTTCTTTTTTCTTGCTTTCTTTCGTTCTTTGTTTCTTTCTTTCTTTCTTTCTTTCTTTCTTTCTTTCTTTCTTTCGTTCTTTGTTTCTTTCTTTCTTTCTTTCTTTCTTTCTTTCTTTCTTTCTTTCGTTCTTTCGTTCTTTCGTTCTTTGTTTCTTTGTTTCTTTATTTCTTTCTTTCTTTCTTTGCTGTTTTTCTTCTTTCTCTCTCTCTCTCTCTGTCTCTTTCGCCCCCTCCCCCCTCCCTTTTTTCCGACAACTTCCTGTTGTTCCTCTTCGCCCGTTAAGGGATGGCCTGTTCGTCTTGGTGTTCTTCAACTTCGCGGTGTTCTTTGTCTACGAGGTTTAGGAGGGTTTCGGGTTTTTGCCCTCGGCGGTGACCCTAAGCTCGGGCTCCCCTGTTTTTCGTGCTTCTTGGTTGGGGTTTTGCCCGCGGAGACCCAACGGGGCCTTTCTGTTTCTTTTGTTTTCTTGCTCCGTTTGTTTTCTGTTGGGGTCTTCGCCCAGTCTTGGGGCGCGTGTTTCTTCCCGAAAAGGTCTTTTTGCTCGTTTTAGATCTCTTTGTCAGCAGGGGGCTTGAGGCTTCTCATCAGGACTCAGGCCAACAAAGACGCCTGATGAGAAGTGTGATGCAATCCGGGACGCTGGATCGTGTACCTGCAATGGTTGTGCAAAGTCCTTTTGGCCCGCTGTTTCTCTCGCTGTGTGTGCCTCATGTTGGATCTCGTAACGTTTTCGACAGAAAGAGAAGCCAAGTGTCGTGCAAGCCGAAAATCCACCCACTCGAGACTCACCAGTTGTACCCGAAAGATGAGATCTCTCCCTCGGGAGTTTAAATTTAAGTGTGTGTGTGTGTGTGTTTGTTTGTTTGTTTGTGTTTGTTTGTTTGTTTGTGTTTGTTGTATGTGTGTTGGGGGGTGTGGCAAGATTGTGGGGCACAAAAGTGGGCCTGAGATATCGAGTGTGCTATTTCTCTTAGAATTGCATGTTTGGCTTGCCCTTCTGCCAGTGCACTTTGCCGTGCCACCTGCCAGGCGGCCATCCAGAGGCTGAAGGAGCGCGCTGACAAGCACGCGGAGGATCATGTAGCTCAGGTGTGGCCTGGGCAAGGTGAGCTATTTTGGGTGTTTTGGTTCTTGGCACTGCCACTGGTGTTACGCTTGCTTGAAAAATGCAACAGAAGGAGAAGAGAAGGTGGACTGTTTCAAGCTTGTTCCTGTTACCCCCCCATCGTTATAGGGAGCTTGCACAGGTTCGAGCCAAAATCGCGATCATACCTTCGGTGGACAAGGCTGAGTGGGAGGCTCAGGGCCTGATGTTGATGCATTGAGGAGCCGATGTTTGTTCTGGAGACACCTCCGTTCAAGTTCTCTTTCTTCTCGCTAGTCAGTTGTGCTATGGTTCTGGGGGGGAGTGCATTTGGCGCATGGCCGGCTGACAAATGATTTTGCTTGGTCAAAGGAAGAAGAAGGGCATGGCAGAGCATTATAATAATCAACAGGATCGGCTCAGGCACCTGGTCTCAGAGAATCTCACAGTGCCAAGTGGTGCCAAGCATTTCTCAGAACAGCGCAACTTGCCCGACCAGTCGACCTCCAAGAACTCGTGCGGTGCTTCAACAATTCACCATATGTTTCCACAAGCCTCTCATGCTGTTCCCCCAGTTTGGCTGAACGCCAACCATAGCCCAGCCACATTTGCCGCCTCTGCATCCGATGGAGCTCAAACCAGCAATCACGAGATTCAACAAGCCAGCCCCAGAGTCGTACCGGGCATACAGCGGTCGAACAGCGGAAGCCAACAAATCGGCCGGACTCGGCCGGACTCGGCTCCGGATGCGGTCGTTGGTGGTGGGCGCCTCGCGGGGCCTCGGCCTGGCCTTGGCGCGGCAGCTGGCGCCGCGGGGCCGAGTCCTCTGCGCCGCGCGCAGCGAGAGCCCAGAGCTCCGGGAGCTTCGGAGGCGCTGGGATCTCACCGGTGAGACTAAGAGAGTAAGACTTAAGACGTAAGATGGAGAGAAGCCGACAACATAGCAGCTATGCTGCGGGAAGGGCGTTCATCAGGAGTTAGCACAACCTGTGTATTCTTTGTTCTTCATCATCTCAGATGTTGCGCTGACTTACAGTTTTGCCAACACGATGGCTGGAAGCCTTAGGCTTTTCAAGGCGCTTTGGCATCGCCAATGGAGTGCCATGGCTCAAGTGAAGGCAGTCTTTGAGCTGCAGTGTGTCGCTAGGTTGTACCCGGACACAGTGACGGTGCTGCAGATGGATGTGACCGCCCTTTGGCTGAAATGGGTCTTCTGGTTTGGTTGGAGGGTCTTGACCTATGTGTGTGGTAGGACCAGCTCTCCTGCAAACTGCAAGTAGGAAGCTTGGAGGTAATTGCTTCCAACACCGCGAGTCTCGCCAAGCCTGGAGGGACCACAGGTGTGCCCGGGGGGTGGGAGTGGCAAGTGTGTCATGTTGGGTGCTCCCAGCCCGTCCCCGCCGCGTGTTCTTGGTGGTGTTTTCGGTGGTGGTGGTGGTGGTGGTGGTGGTGGTGGTGGTGGTGGTTGTGGTGTGGTTGTGGTGGTGGTTTTGGTGGTTGTTGCTTTGGCTTTGGGATGGCCAAAGTTCTTGCGGAGCAACCTCTGTGGCCGGAACTTGAGCGGGCAATGTGCTACAGCCCGTGTGTGTTTGTTTGAGCCCTTTTTGGGCATCTTGTTTGTGCGTTTGTGAGTGCCATGTGGGCACGATGTGCTCAGTGTAACGCGCCTTATGCTCACGAAAGTGGCACCAGCCGACACGTGCACCTGCGCTGGCGGAACTTCCGTGTGCTGACATTCAAACTTCTTCTTGATTGCTTATTGGGGGACTTGCAAGCTTACGTACGCCTCTCGTATGCGCCCTTCCACCTAAGTATGCTACTTGTGGCCTGAGGTCCCCCCCCCGTGTGTAACAATGCAAAGCGCGTGAAAAAAAAAGGTTGATTTCTTCTTCTGGGCTGTTTCTGGCGCCGACACCTTTCCTTCGCTCAGGACGCCAAAAGCATCGCCGCCGCTGCAGCGGCGGCTCGTGAAGCCCTGGCCTCAGCGTCGGCTTCGCCAGGGCTGGAGCTGCTGTGCCACACGGCCGGGCTTCTGCCGCCCGGCGGCCCGCTGAGTCGCCTTTCTGTTTTGGAGATAACGCGAATGAAAAACATGCCGAGGCATTCATGGGACAACACCCAAAAGGAGAGCAAGCAACACGTCAAAGCCACCAACACGGCCAAAAACACAATGCCACGAGCAACGCCCAAAGAGAACAACGCCCAAAGAGAACAACGCTAAGGCCATAGAAAGCCATGATTGCCAAAGCATCGCACGAGCACAGGAAAAGGTTCCAGCGTATGCCCAGTTCTGTGGACCACAAGGCCGTGCCATAATCACCGTGTGTCCCGACCTGTGTTACTTTTGCAAGATCATGTTCAAACTGGACCCAGCACGGGCCCCATGCCAATGAGATTCGACACAAATAGTGAGAAATTGCGAACCCAACAGCAATGGCCCAATGGCAGATTAAAAGGCGGCCGGGATACTAGAGATGCAGAGCCTTCCATCTGAAAAAAAACATCTTAAAAGTACGAAAGGCCACATTTGCTTTTTGAGCATTTCACAAATGTACGCAAGTTCAGTTTTAAAGGCTCACTTGGGCCAAAGACGCAACACAAATTATCAGGCATGCCCCGTTTCGTTGAGGCCTGGCCAAAATGCGGGCTGTTCTGCAGCAAAAGAAAGAAACTCGAAAGCGCGCCTTCCAGATTCAAGAGCACGCTCGGCCAGCGCCCGCGGATTTCTTTGCACCTCGACATCTTGTTGGGTGTTTGGCATCAACTTGTCCGTTAAGTCAGAGTCTTCGATGCGAGATGCAGACGGGGCACTGCCAGAGCAGCAGTGGCCGTGGATGGGCCAAAGGATGTTGCCGGCGCTGAGGCAAGACAAAGCTCGAGGCGTCATTCCTGAGAACAGTCTTCAACGAGTGGAACCCGACGCGGTGGCGTACTCTTTTGCCGTGAGCCTTGTCATGGACAGCTGTTTGCGTGGCTTGACTGGTAGGCTGGGAGTTTCAGATTGAGTCTTTGACCAGGAATGCCATTGGGCCACTGCTGGTCTTGAAGCACTTCTCACCGCTGCTGAAGGCTGCGGCGCAGCAGCAGGGCAGCGCTGCCGACGACCCTTCTGGCACGCCGGGCGCTGTCGCAGTCTTCTACAGCGCCCGTGTGGGCTCTATCGGCGACAATGCCTCAGGCAAGGCGCACAAAGAAGTAAGTGGTTCATGGCCATTGCTGCCTCAAATCTAGAAAGAGCCGCTTTGCGTAGAAAGAGCCGCTTTGCGACCTGTTTGCAGGTGGTTGGTACTCCTATCGCAGCAGCAAGGCCGCCTTGAACCAGGCCACAGTTGGACATGGCTTGGGTTGGCTGCGGGCTGGGGCTCTTGGACCTTTTGTAAACTTGGCCGAATGTGGGCACAAGGGAGGCTGGAGGCTGGCTTGACGTTCGATTTTCACTTTCTCGGCACAGTGCACCCCACGAGGTGGTTCGCAGCAGTGCTCTTGAGCTGCGGCGAGCGAAGGTCTGCTGCTTCGCGCTCCACCCAGGCACCGTGGACACGGACCTCACGGCGCCCTTCGCGAGAGCCAGGGCTAAGTACTCTGTGCAGCTCAGCTGCCAGTTGCTGGGAATTCAATTTCTTTTTGGATTTGACCCTGTGGCATTTTCAGGGTTTTGCGGTGTTTTCTCTGGGAAGTGTCACGCTCTGTGCATGTGCAGCTGAGGCAGAATGTCGATGAGGCCGATGGGCTCTTAGTACCAGAGTTGCCCCCCCTATTCAAAATAGAAAGCTATCACTATCATTGCCTTGGACGGCAGCTGTGGGCAGAAGCAACGGGGGGGGGCTCAAACAGGTTCGGGGGCACACATTACTTCCCGAATCTGTTTTTACATTTCTTGAGGCATTGTAGCTTCCGTAGTTTGCCTTTTGGGCCAACCATGCGTTACGCTGCCAACCCGAGGCCCGAAGCCATTTGGACATCACGCTGTCGCGCACTATGGCCGATGCTGGCCGTTTTTTCGATTGGCAAGCTCAGGAGGTGCCCTGGTGATCAGGACCTGCCCAGGGCGATTTGGTGGCGCGCTGTAGCAGTGACTTGTGGTGAGGAAGGGTATGCAGGAAGTGATGAATTGATGCAAGCTTGCCGCCCGCCTCTGCCTGCTCAGCTTCATATGGTCGAAGAATGTCGCAAAGGTCATGGCCCACTGCAGAAGGTAAATTGACTTGACGAACAAATGAATTGGATTTTGGCAATGCTTCCCGCGACCCCCTGAATCCTGGACAAGAATTGTCCTCTAGAACGTCCCTGAAGGGTGAGCCAGGAGATGCCCCGGCAAGGAACGATGGAACTCCGCCTCTCACCGCCTGCAGCTTTTGCAGCCCTACACCCACCTACCTCCCCTCTGCTATGCCAACCACCCAAGACAGAGGCTACAGCCGCTTTGTTCCGTGAAATGCCGCTGCATGGCCTGCCGGGCCTGCCTGGTGGCACCGTGGCCGCCGCCTCCGCATTCTCCGTTCTACTCTGCACGTCCGGGCTTGCGCTGCTCAGTGCCTAGGTGCAAGCAAATTGTAGGGGCCGAGGGGCCAAGAGTTACGAGACACGAGGCGCTTGTTTGAGTCACTTTCGGTCTTGGTTCCGGCCCAAGGAAGAGCCAGGCCGCATAAATCGGACGAGGAGCGGGATTATGAGGATGAAGGCGGGGAGCAAGTCTTTGCTGTGTGCAAGCATGGGCTGCAACTGCTTGGTCTGTACATGGCAAACACGCGCAGCCAGGCTGCTTAGCAACCTGGCCAGATTTCAGTTGATGTTAGAGGGGTTGGGATGTTGTCAGCTACGCCAGCCATGCCTGTCGAGGGCTTGTACAGCTTAGGTCGATGATGACTCTTGTGGGAAGCAAGGCTGCACTTCCATGGCAAACATAGATACAGCTTGTCTTCAACTACACGGCCAAAGCCACTATGAAGTACAATGAAGCAATATTTCTAAGGCCAATTTTGCACCACATTGAACTGGATAGATTGAAAGAGCAGCAACCTTTCAGAGGCTCAGAGGCCGTCAGGCATCAGGGAGGCCGTGCAGAGCAAAGCAATGCATGGTCCAAGGGCAGCTCAAATTTGGTCTCAAACAACTTCCCCCAGGACGGTCTTGGGGCTGCTGGGCGCGCTTCAACTGTACGTGGGCCTGGCCCTCGCAGAGGTGCCCTTCCTCCTGGGTGTTGCTGCATTGCATTGGGATTCGGACTTGGTTTGGTACCAGGAAGGCTTGAGTTGACTTGGTTTTCGGCACAACCCACTGTCCCCACCAAGGTTTCAACAGACGATGAGGGCAAAGCGGCAGCCCTGATTCAGAACTGCTTGATTTTCGTTACTTGGCCTCGTTTTGAGTTGGTTTGGGCGCGCTGTAGCCGGCCTTCCTTTGTAGCCGAATGGTGGGCTTGAGGAATAGACCAGCCTGGTCAGGTCGGCAAGGGTGGGTGGATGCAGAAGGCAACTCTGTAGAAATGCTGGTACAGCTTGTGGCTTCTAGCGCCGGGGCGCCATGGAATCTTTGCCTCGCGCTGCTGCCGTGAACGAACCTGCTGAGTCACTGAGGGATCAAACTCAGCTTCCCTGCCTTTCATCAGGATTTCCCGATTGATTCTTGCCCATTCTCAGTGAAAACTTGAACTGCCACGATGTGAACATCAAGTGTGGGACAGCTTACCCACGTTTGCAGCATTTTGAGAGAACACCACGTTAAGCTCATGTTGTGGTATGTCAAGTTGCCAGATAGAAAATATACATTGCCGAGGCCTGTTGGTTTGTGGAGAGCAGCTGCCTGGCAGAGCAGCCGCTGCCAGCTGTTCAGGGTGCGCTTTGCCTGGTGCTTCTTGGTTCAACGGGCCTAAGCAATGCTTTGCACGGCGAGTGGGTGGTTCAGTACAAGGTTCACGTTCGATTCCCGCCCTGTGCTTTGCCTTTTGCTGCCATTGCACAATGCGCGGTCGTTTGCTTTGCCAATTGTTTAGACTTGCTATGTCGAGTTTCCGTGTCTTGGCTGGACTGGTTTCCCACCTGCTGCCGCTACGTCTTGCCCGGACGCATGCTCTCCGTCTGCCTGGGTTTCTGTCTTTCTGCGACATGTTGCGCAGGGCTTCCTTTTAAAGATAAACTTATTCAGAACATTTGCGCAGAGCTTGCTCACTTGCGAGGAGGAAACCTCTGCGGAACAAGATTCAATGCGTTTGTTTCTTCGAAACTCCCAACAGCATGGCGAAGGGTTTTCAGCCAATGGCACAGCTCCCTTACGCAGGTGCAAAATACACCCAGCAATCTGCACCAGAATTAAGGCGCGCAGCAAAGACACAGGCAACTTGCAATGCTTTCACTTGCAATGAGATAATTTGCGCAGATCGCATACGCTGTGTATCTACGGAATTCGTACGTGTCGGATACAGGAGCGCCCATGCTTGAGTACACTGCCTTTTGTTTAGATGCGTGTTGCGCAGTGCTCATTTCATAGCTTACGTGCCAGCTCTTTCTGTCACTGCAACAACGCGGTCCCATGCTCGAGTCCTTTGATCCGTGCCCCGCTTCGATGAGTAGATGCTTGCAAGCATCCAGTTTGTAACAAGGGCCAGTTTTGCGTTAGGCTGGAAAGCTGTATCCACGGGTTCGAATTCGCACCCTGAACTGCACACAGACTACACACAGAGTATGTGTGTGAAGTGCACGCAAACCATAGTGTAGCCTAGCCGTTTTCTATGCTAGTTGTTCTCGTCCGCGTTGTCCGCCACACCTGCTTTGTCCAAGGGTGGGCCTAGCTTGCACCCTCATCGACTGGGCTGGCCCTACGCCCTATGATGACATGCGTGCTGGCTTCGCAAGCCAGATCGCAGGCTGGACGCAAAACACAGGCTTTCAGGGTTTTGAAAGGTGCATGACTCAATTGCTTGTGTGGGCCGCAGTCATGTAGGTTGTGACGGGGGTTTTCGGTCGCCCTTTGTGCTCTACGTGAGCGTGTGGGTGACCGGCCTGATCTTCGGCACGTTGCTCCTCTTCTTTGAGGAAGGTGCGCTTTTCGTGAGCTGTGGCGAGGGGACGAGCCTTGGCTTGCCGCTGCGGCGGAAAGTGCTGCCGGTGGTCTATGGCCTGGCCACCTCGATGTCCTGCGTCCTCTTTGCCACAGGCCCCCTTGGCTGCAAACATGCGCCGGGCTGCTGGGCTTGCGCCGGTGGTTGCATCCAAGGTTCTGCAACCAACGACATGAGCTGGGTGACGGCTGGTGTCCTGCTGCTGGTGATTTCAGTGCTTTGCGCCTGGGATTGGCTCTGGTCCTTGCAAATGAACATGGCGACGCTGGGGGCGCTCTTTCAGGGTTTCGCCATTGCCTTGCGGGCTGTGCAGAACCATGCAGTCTTCCGAGACCTGCGCTGGGATCCATCGGATGCCAAGGGGCTACTGGTTGTTTACGAGTTCCCGGGGCTTCAGATCTTCATGCGCCCTGGCAGCCCTAACAGCCCTAACAGCCCTGCCTAGTCTCATCAATCAAACATTGACGTGATTCCTCGTGCCGGCCAGGTTTGGCCTGTTCTTGATGTTCATCTCCCTGCAGTTCTACCTGTACACATGCCACTGGGAGGACCCTCTCGGAATACCTGTCATCCCTCACATGTTTCTTCAATCTGCAATGTTATTGTGAAAGGGCAAGCCATTCAGGAGTCCCAAACTTAGTTTTCCGGAGCTTGACGGAGGAGTGGGGTAATCAAAGCCTGGAGCCTGAGGCGGGGTTCTGAGCTCGCTGGCAACTCGCGTTCTTGCGCGTAGAGCCAATGAGCCAGGCCCCAGCATTTCCCTATGAGTCCTTGCCAAAGCTTCGTCAGAGTGGAGCGATGCTGAAGGACCTGCCAAAGTTGGTGATGTGGTTTTTTTTGCGTTTGGCGTGTGGGCTGGCCAGCTTGCAGGACCTCGGTCAAACAGAGCGTGAGGCAGAGCAGGATGATGAGTTGTGCAACTCGTTTCAGAAGGCCACGGCCAGTCAGTTGATTACATAGTTGATCCAACCAGTCTGTCGGCATAGGTCGTTTCTATGAAGCAGAAAGCGCAAAGCTCTGCACTCGGGGACTCAACCGCGCCGGAACAGGCACGCAAACAGCAGTGTTAGTTCCCGAGTGATGCCGTCATGTTCAGCAGATTTGATCTTTTCGAGGACATTCAGCAACACACAAAACATGTCTTGATGCTTCAGACACACACACACAGGGTGTGTCAACATTGTCCATTTTCACACTGAAGCAAACATGTTTCAACATTCGATGAGAAGCACTTGGAGAGATTTTCAGGCTTCCCATTGATCTAAAATCAGCACGCACTATTTCATCCTGTTTGCGAATAGACATGTTGTTTTGAAACGCATGCAGCAATAAAGATTGAAGACAATCAAACGGCTACTCTGAATTTTCATCCAACAACACAATAACACATTGAATGGTCTGTTGAATGGTCTGTTGTCTTCTTTTTGTCATCGCAGATTGTTTGTTCCAGGCTGGTGCACCCAAAGTCGCCGTGACAATATCATGTTGTCACGTTTGATGAGAGAGTGACATCCAGTGAGACCAATATTTTGCATAGAAGCCCGTGGTTCGCCAGTCTGAGGCCAGGAGCAAGCGCTTAGGACAAGGCTTTTAGATTCTTCTCTTCCTTCTTTCAGATTTGTGGCAGTATTCATTCCTTCTAGTCTGTGTGGATTCATGTTGAAGCATGGTACTCAGGCAGTGGGAGCCAATGGTGGCAGTGGCTCTTGCTTCCGCTGTGCATCGTTTGCCAGATCATTGGCGTGCACGTCCCTTTAATTTACACAGCACCTTGGCTGCTTTCAGTAGATTTGCAGGTATCTGAAGCTTGACGGCCTCCGAGGAGTGTGTTTTTCCACAAGTGACCTGGTTTCACGACGATCCTGGGGGCTACAAAGTGTCTCAAGGCAGTTGCTGGCATATTCAATCTTGCCAATTCAGGTGTGTGGCAAATTTCTTGCCTTTCCCATATCGGCAAGTTTGATTTGTGCAGGGGAGTCGTACACAGATGTCATTCGCTGGCTCTATCAACGTCATCTACCATGCTCTGCGCTTGTGCCCCGGCATTAACATTGGTCCTCCATTCGAGGAATGAAACTTGAATTGCTTTCCAGCTGCATGCGTGTATTCACAGGTGGCTGCGTACAATGCCATGCTGCTGCCGCCGCTGCAGTTCTTGATGATATTTCTCATTCTGCTGCGGTCCAGCCTGGTGCCGTCCGAGCTGCGCCGGTCCATGCAGAGCCTCAGTTAATGCTTGGCCGGGCTTCTGGGGAGTTTCTCAGGGCCCGAGTCCAGTTCCCGTACGTGCAGGCAACACACCTTGTATTGACGCGGAGGCGATTCTCTGAAGGGGGCTGTGTGGCATCTAGCATTGACACATTCATCTTCTTCAGCCTCAGTATGATTTACATGTTCTGGCTTGTTGCCATGAAAATGCCGATGTTCAGGAACTATGTGATGACCCTGGCGCCCATGCGCTTTACCCAGCCCTCCATTATGATGTTGGTGGTGGGCATTGCCAGTTTGCCCATTCACAACCAGCACGAGGACACTTTCGAATCGAAGCTTCGGGTGGCATGGTTCATGTTCCAATATGACGGGTGCGCAAGGGCATTTTTGGTTGTTGGCCTGGCCTTGCAGAGATTTTCGGCATTCCCATTGCTAGAAAAGGCCGGTTCCAATCTGAGTATCCTCCACCATGAGGTGGCAGTGGGTTTCTGGGCGTCACACACTTGTGCACCTGCCTTCGCTCGGCAAGGGGAATGGTATATATATATATGTGTGTGTGTGTGTGTGCGCGAGCCTACCAACTTTTTTTTTGGGCAGGGCGATTGCCCAATGGCAGCTTTCTGCAGAGGAAGTGCAGCAACGGGCCAGGTCATGGGTATTAAGCTTGTCATGATGCCAGGCCGGCTTTGGTGATTTTGGAAATTGCAGGGCTGGTGCCAGTCCGTATGAATAGCAGATTCCTTGAGTCAAGTCCAGTGTGTGTGTACTGGACATTCCAGCTTTCATGCAGCACCTTTGAGAGGACAATCTCCAGTACAGCGGCAGCTTCACCAGCGGCTACTGGTTCTTCCTGACCTACTGCATCCTAAACCTAGTGCTTGCCTGGTCGGTGCAGCCCACCGAAACATTGCAGACGCAGGCGCAGGCAAGAGCACATGTTGGGCATAGAGTGTGTGCTTTGCTGGGAGTGCAAAACTACCCGGGGAACATGTGGCGTTTTAGTTTGGAGGCGCTCAGCATTCTCAACGCAAGAAGTCTCATATTTTCTTTCCAGGGTGCCAAGAAGCTTCACCGAGACCCTCTCATGGAGATGGAGCTGAAGCACTGGCACGGGAGCGAGCTGATGGGTTGGATGCCGGGGCACACGCTGTTTCTTTCTGAGAGCCAGGGTCTTCAAAATCAATTCAGGAAGCAGAGCATCAACCATTGTTTGCTGTTGCAAGCGGTATGGTGCATGCATGGCTTGCCCCTTGTCTTCAGACAATGGTGGGTTCCCGGGTTCAGGCCTCGATGTCCGTTCGCGTTGTTGAATGAATCCATACAACTCTCCCCCCCAGCCGGCACCGAATCCTTTGATTTGCGGTTGCCTCGTAGCACGCGCCAAAGCATCGAGACTTTCCCTGCTTTGGAAAGCAGCATCGTGACAGAAGGAACAGGCACCACACAGCCATTGAGGCAGGCGCACCCTTCCACTCGTCCTTGGTTGCAGGTTTGCAGCCAACTCAATATTCGAAGTGCTCCTCATGTTTGACCACTTTGCAATTCGCTGGAATTGCCTTGCAGCTGCAGGAATGAGGATTCAGAGTCGGAGGAGTCCCCGGGCTCCAACTCAATTCCTGCCGGGGGCTCAACACTCGAAAAAGTCCAAGACTTTGAGGAGGTCATTTGTGCAAGTAGCGGGCCGATTGATTTGGCTGGAGAGGTGCCTGTGAAAACGGCTTCAATGTGGGGTCACCGTGAATCAACGCGTACTGTCTGCTACCATTTCTGCACAGGTCATGGCTGTGCTGGTTGCGGGCCTTCCCATTGTCACTTGTGCGTGCTTGGCGCTCCTGAACCCCTACCTGGAATTCGAGTTTCGGGTCGCAGGCACGTCCAGGGGCTCGTGCGGGACTTACCTGGCTTGGGCTTGTTATGCGGATCACTTGTTCCTTGAATAAAATACCCCAACTTCTGTAATGCTGCTGCAATGGGCTTGGCACATCTTGGCACTTCTTCCAAAATTGGCTTGCAGCAGCAACAGCCACTCACTTTTTGGGCCTGACGGTCAGCTGAGGCAATTCATCTCTGACAATTGGGCAACACTTAACCCGAGCATGATATGATTTGCGTATGGGGAAGCTAGCCAAGATTTGTGCGGTCAACAATCGTCAGAGGTGTGGGGAGCTGCGACGGATTTGGTAGCTGGGCCGTGCGTACCTATTTTCAACACTATTCAAGGGAGCATGCAGGATCGCAACCCAGCTCTTCACGTGACATGCTGCACCTTGAGCATGCCTCAGGTGTGGTGATTCACCGGGTGACGCCAACAGTGCTGGACCTCTGGTTTAGCATAGGCTCGGTGAACCACTTCCTCATGTGCTACTGCGCCGCAACGCTGTTTCCAGGCAGCATTTCATTATTAGAATGAACCTCCTAAGCTGCTCACATTCAGGAGGGACATTCAGGAGGGCCAGTGGGGCGCCTATAGCAGCGCCCTCCGCCAGAAAGGTCCCCGTTCACAAACAAGCATGTACTTGATGGCGCGGAGAACGGCCTGTTGAGAGGTGAGTGGAGTTCTTGTCAAGGATTGTCTTCCCACTGCTATGGCTGGCGCCTGGGCGGAGAGAAGACCGTGCTGCATGCATGTGAAGAAGCCGTGCGGCTCCGTGTCAATGCATTTTTGTTGCCGCACTTCCTGTTCATAGCGAGCTTGCTGGAAGCTGAACTGCTTCCCTATGGGGCAAGCAATCTGTCCCTGAGGCCTGCCTTTGCTTCCGGCTCTTCTCCAAGCCGCTGCCATGGCTTCGGTCGTTGGAGTCGCTGCTGCGGCCTTGGGTGATGTGCCACATCTGGGCAGCCTCGCTGGCGCTTCGGCGGGAGTGGCGAGCAAATTCTGTGACAACTGGGCCAAGTCTTACGAGTTAGTACCCATTTTCCAGCGGTTGCCTGTTTCAACTCAGAGCGCAGCCGTTGAGGTGCTGGTCTATTACATTGTGACGCTTGGCCTGGACAAGCCGCAGTCATGTTGGGTCAAGGCGGTGCAGTTGTCAGTCCGTTTGTACAAGGACAGCCCGGAACAAGAACACAATGGAGGTTTGTGCCAGCTTTCCGGCCGTGCCCATCGCACCCTTGGCGATCGTCCTCATGGGAGCAGGCTTGAAACTATGGTGGGAAGAAGGGGCCCAAGGAAGTGCCGAACAGAAAGTGACTGATGCTGAAGGGGCTGCGGTCTTTGGCTGGAGTCATTCAGTCATGAAGTCTTGCCTTTGCATGTCATCATGCGGCCTCTGCTGGCTAGGCACCTATGGCCTCATCCACGCGGCCAAGGGACCAGGCCACACAGCTATGCCTCCGCTGCCTGGGGGCAAGTTGTTCTGGCTTGGCGGGCTGGGGTCCCAGCATTCCAAGAGAGAGCCAGAAAGGAATTGCGTCCTGAGCATCAAGACTGATCATGCATCAGTGTCTGTAACAAACATGTTGCAACCGTTCCCATGCGGCTGATGTTCAGGCATGAAGCTTGGGGCAATGGATCTGTTTTGCAAACGCTCGCTTTTGGTGTCAAGCCCAAGCTCCCTGATAGGGTTTCAGGGCAACGATCCAGGGCAACGCCTCATGGTGCGGCAACTGCCTGACTGGATCAATTGGAGTGATCGTGAGAAGCCCAGCAGCTATGAACCCGTTCAGCTGGATGCAGAGAAATTCCCTTTGCCCTGCAGCTGGGTGGATTGGTGGAGCCCTCGTTCCTGGTGCTGCTGCACTTGCTTTCCGCTTGCTCATTGCTTGCACGGGCGCGGCAACCCCTGCCTAGTGCAGACGGTGGATGCTCTGGACCCAGAGCTCTACCGGAAGACCTTGCAGCTGCCCACCAAATGTCCGAATGAAATGAGGGGTGTCTGGTGGCTGCAGGACAACATTGCACATGAGACTCTGGTCATCTTCAACGATTCATTTTGGGAAGATGTGGATGAGCCAGGATCTGGGACTATGTTCTTCCAGCATGACTTGCCTCAAACCTGGCTCCGGGATCTTTCAATGTTTGGCCTGATCTTAGGCATCGGCAATGCCTGGCAATCGCCTTGCCAAAATACCTGGGCTCAGGAGTGGCAGAGCTATGTGCCCATGTATTTCAACTTCAACGAGGGCAAAGGCGTTTTCAAGCCGACCTCCTGGTTGTTTCGAGTCACCGAAGACGAGTGGCAGAAGCCCGACTATGCTGCGGCTCCTGGCCTGCCTGGGGGCGATGACCTCGTCTACATGTACCGCTGGCGTCGCGTCATGCGCGGCGATGGCACCACTACTTCGGCATGGGAGGAGATGAAGCAGGTCATGGAGAGCCCGCTGCCGCACCGAAACTGTTTCGAGCCTTGGTGCCCTTGCTGGCCCCTCTGCATCTCCCCTTCTGAGCGGCTGGTGGATATGACCTATGCCAACCGGCGCCAGGTGGTGATTTTCCGGCCTGAGGAACGGACCGCGAGCTTCTCTGGGTGCTGTTGCTTGCCCGCCTGTCCCTGTCCATGCTTGTGCCCCCTCTTTGCCAAGATTGACGGCGCGTACAAGAAGAACTTTCCAGATACAGCAAGTGCAGAGAAGCCCCCCGATCAGCAACGCATGCTTGGCGGTTATTGAGGCTGTTTTCTTGAAGAAATGGCAGGCCGTCTCGTTGCCAAATGGCATAATTGGCTTCTCTTGTCTCAAGCCGTTCGAAGATTTTAAAGTTCACCAACTTCAGTAAAGGCAGAGACCTGGGCGCGGTGCAACGGTGTGTTGTGGAAAGTCACTGATCCAGAGTTTCGGGGTGGGGGGCAAGCCGTCGTGAGGCCCGCCCTGACAATGCTCAGCATCGGTGGCCTGCTGTCAACCACGGGTCCTGTGCGACCGCCTGCCATTCAGAGCCTGCAGGAGCACATGCCAAACCTCGGCCTCGTTTCGGTCGACTTGACTGGTTTTGCTCGTTCTCAGAAAGAGGCAGCATGCGGTGAAGAAGGCAGAGCGTTCTTTGTTTCAATGTACTCCTTCCAGCGGTGCCCAAAGCACACCCATAGCCACGAACCCTAGGCCCTAAACGCATGCACTCCTCAAAAAATAGATCCGGAATCTATGACTCAAACATAACACAGCTTAATTAGTTTTCAGTACCACGGAAATGGCTTCTAAACTTCTTTGGATAAACGTTTGTACTGAAAGATAGGTTACGGCGACGTTGGCGACGCGGCAAGGCGCGCCTTTTTTGACATTACATGCAGGATTGGCTCGCCTTGGCGTGCTTTCCAACAGCATTGTCGCGAAGCTTGCCGTAACAAGAAGGAGCGCCATCCGTGAGTTGGGTGAAAAGGAAGCAACGCTGTGTTGGCGTGATCAACGCGACAAGACGGGGCAAATGTGGAGCGCGGTCGCGTTGCTTGCGATGCGTCAAAGCGACCTGCTACTGGGAAGCTAGAGGCAGATCGTGTGCAGAACAGATGGGGGTACGTCAGCGCTGCGTCAACCGCGCTCAGCACTTTGTGCTACAGTAGGTTAATATTGCAGACCTTTTTGGAGTTGTGAAGGGTGGGGAAGCCTGAGCAATAGGACCTCAACCAGCAGTTTGTACACCTTGCCCCCGTGGTGAACCAGCGCATTCACAGGGATGTGACAGAATCGTTTGGCCACTCGGACGGCAAACGCTCTCAGTGTTTTGGACCAGCGCGGGATCGCACTTTCGTTTGTGACTTTGCCATAGAACATGGAGGTCCCTTCGCTACCTGTGATGGTAGGCCCACAAGGGCCCCGAACAAGTTTCCATTGCCACTCATCAATTCTTCCCTGAGTTGGCTGAGGCGATTGCCAGACACTGTGGGAACATTTGGCGGAGCAAGGCCGAGAGCTGCAAGAATGCTGCCAGATAAGGGTCACGAGGGGTTAGGCCCGGATATGCTTCGGCACCCGGATGCAGGCCAGCAGCCGCGCAACCGCAGCAGCTGCTCCGGCAACGCCCCGTTGCTGCAGAAGGAGCTGCAGATGGGCTCTGCGACGGCAGCAGGGGGCAGGCCAGTGAGAGGGGGCATCAGGCTCCGAGATGATTAGACATTGGGGGCAGGCATGGGCAGGCTGAGGAAAGGATGTGACAATGGTGAAAGGACAGGGGCAAGTTCGGCTAGGCTCAATGTCAAATCAGACGAAGGGCTCCTACATGAATCGCCTCAACGCAGGATATGGGCTCCCAGATCTGTTGGAGCCATAACGGGAAATTACCTGCATGTTCGGCCTTTTGTTGTCATTGAAACCTTTGTGGGCCAGGCATCTCTTCAAGATCACGGCGCTGTGGGCTAAGGCAGGTGCCGGGAAACCGCTCATGTTGGGCGGGTTTCGGTCGGACCGCTGGAATGGATGAAAGGAGCATTGTCTGCAGAGCTGCACGCTCTCAGGGGGTCAACACCTTGCAGCTCCTGGGCATGGCAGTGCAGCCGCCTTCCCGTTTGGTGCCCCAAGTCTGGCACTTGAACATCTCAGCAGCATTTGAAGACCTGCATGTGGCGTGGCCACAATTGCTTGGGGGGGAGCTGTTGTCAGTGTCATTTATCGAAGCTGAGGGGTCTCAGGCTCTTCAGACTTTGAAGCAGTTTGTTCCCGCCTCTTTTTTCACGTTGCTTACGCATGTTGGCTGCAATGCTACCCACGGAAGACGGCATCAGGACCACAAGTTCAAGCGTAACGGCAAGCGCAGAAGACTCCAGCCATTTTTGTGCACTTAGCTGCTCATTTCCACAGGAAGTTTCGGCAACACGCACATTGAACGGCATGCGGCTTCTATCCTTGTTCTTGGTATGCGATCCAAGCAACGCTATGCTAGAGTGCCAGCCGTGGTAGGCAAAGCGCAGAAGGCACCTGAGGCAACTTGCCTACAGACGGTTTCTTCTGCTCAGAAACCTGAGCAGTGGTTATTTCCAGAGTAGCAGCAAGGGCCCAGCGTCGAGCAATTGAAAATCTGCAAATCTGCAAGGGGGCAAGGAACACAGGCCAGTGCCAAGAGTATGTAGCAGGGCAAAAACGTAACATTCATGAACCTTGCGCCTCCCAGCATTCAAGAAGGCGTAAACATTCCCCCCGTCCCACCCGCAGCACCCTTCGCAAGGAGATATTCCGCGCTTTGCGGTGCGGATCAAACCAACAGATTGTTGCGGTTCGTTTAATTTTCCCCGGGAGCATCATGGGCAACACACAGAAACAAGGTTTCTTGGCAATTTCCCGGCACAAGGTGACCCCGCAGTCAGCCTGACGCCCATGTGAGGTTTTCATGAGAGTTCTGGTGGATGACAAAGCCTGGTTCGACGGTTACATGTGCTGCGACCAGCCCTTCCACTTCCGACTCCAAGCATCTTGACAGAGTCACCGGTTCCAGGCCTTGGTGAGGCCACGTGGCCTCCAGCAGACACCGCAGCGACCTTTGACAGCTCAGGTGACTGTGAAGTGCCTGCAGGATATTGGGTTCCAAGACTTGGAGGTGGATTTGGTTGAAATGGACAAGGCCTGAGCGGGGGGGGCTTTGGCCAGGTGTGTCGGAGGGGGATGCAGGGCTTCCGTGCCGATAGATGCAAAGGGAGTCGGTCCTTTCACTCGGGGCTCAAAGCAATTCACCGATGTAAGCCTGCGAATTCAGCACACTTGTTTCTGAGCAGCAAAGAGGATGGGCAAACCGCTGCAAGATGACGCTCAACTTTGAAACAAGCACATGATTACAGCAAAAACAACGTGAAGACAGACGAGAGAGAAAGAGAGAGAGAGAGAGAACATCCAAAAGCAGGGGCGGGGACCGCTCGCCCTCAACCCACCCATTCAGGTTGTGTTGGCCAACGGTGCCGCGCTGACTGGCCCAGCCTGGGCGGCAGTGAGCTCCGATCTGGGCCGACGCGAGCTGGCGGGGGCGGCAGTTGGCCAAGCCGAGGGACACACTTCTGTTGAGCTGGTGCCTTTGCCCTTCTGAATCCACCAGTCCGTGAGCGTTGGCCTCACAGCCCGCTCAAAAGAAGCGAGGGAACTTGATGAGATCACTAATTTTGAGCAGAAAGACTACTCGGTCACTGAATCCTACGGGCAGGTGAAGAAGGTCATCGAAGACTTTGCATCCCTGCACACTGGCCAGGTGCTTTTATCGCGCCTTGGCATGAATGCACGCCTGGGTTGCGTGCCATCTCGCCATGGTTCATTCGCGGATGGCCCATCGTTCAGATTCTCGCTCGCCCCGCCCCGCCCTGATGCCTAGATTGACAGATTTCATCACAATTGCCAGGGCATGTGCAGCGCCCTGCGAGCTTGCAAGGAGCCTCAACCAGAGGGCCACACGCAGCCGGCAGATTGCCAGCGATGTCCTCTCGGACGTGGTTCAGCTCAACACAGGCCGATAAACTCTCGTGCTTGGGTCCTGCACTATCCAAAATTAGAAGTGCTCGTTTGATATTTTTGGGTTTTGCTGGTTGGCATGCGTTTGGCTGAGCATCCTGGGAGGCCACATCTGCGCCAGTGAGCCCAGCGCACGCAGTGGTATCAGTGAAGAGCAACTGATGCCAGAGACATTGCCTAGGCGCTGATGCAGAAAAGCAGCCCTTTTTCTAGCCGCATCGTTCTGTTTTCATCTCGCGGTCGGCGCTCGACAGGAGGGCGTTGAGCGTCACAGAGGCTTATTGACAAGACCCCTTGCATGACCTCCTTATTTGCCTACTACCTCGGCAGTAGCAAGCTCAGAAAATCATCATAGGGTAAGCAACGCGTTTTTCAGCTGTTATTCGCAGGACGCCGACCAGCCTGGCAGCAGGCTTGGAACTCTGCACAGTGGATGAAAAGGTTCGCGCGCTGCACAACCCCGGAAGAGGCCTGGCCATTTTGACCTAAGACTTGGCCTACAAGTGTTGCAAGGGGCCTGGGCTGAAGGATTGAACAGCTGAGAGTGGTGTGTTGGAGGCTCCTGGCTCGCCATGCATGTCTCACCCAATGAGCCTTTTGCAGACTTGCGGCCTGATGTTGGGTTGGTCAGCGAGCTGCTAGCGCGGAAGATTGGTTGGCCGCTGCAGGAGGCGGGGAGGCTCTGCTGACTTTGGGGCATCGGATGGGATCGAGCGCATAGGTGGCTGGCCCCAATCGCTTTTGTCAGCTGTAGGCACTCCAAGCACTCAAAAAAGGCCATCGCGCGGGCTCAGCTAATGCTGCGACAGGTGGGTGGTACCTCGGTCCTTTTGCTTGGCGGTGCGGAGTTTATCGACTTCCCTTCTGAACTCGGACTGGTCAAGCTCAGCTCGGCGCAGCTCAACTGCAGACAAGCACGGCATGAGCTGCCCAAACGAGAAGGATTGATCATTCCGCACTGTGCTGCCTGTTTCAGTGTGTTCTTCATGTCCCATTCCATGCCACACCAATGGAATTGCTTCAATTTGGATGCAAGCCAAATGCCTCCGCCCACCCCTAAATGAACCCGAAAAAAATCCTCACAACCAAACAGAGAAGGACAACCTAAATTATGTTGGGTGTGGGAAGCACTTGGCGCACAGCAGCAGCCTTCTAGTCACCCGCAGCCGAGGTCCACACTGAGCGCCGACCTGTGGCCTGGAAAGGGCTTTTTGTGTCGCACAGGTCACAGCTTGCCCCAGCCAACTGAAGCCCTTTGTGGAAAGGCTTCAGCGTTCATGGGTTATTTTGATGTCGACTTTCTGGGCACCGTGGACGACTCTATGTGTTACGGTTTGGCCTGCAGCTTGGAAGGTGGCGCTTCCATCGGAATCTTCGTGCTACGGTGCTCATGGCCTGAACAGCCCTTGGTGGTGTGCAAGGTGCGCGGGCTGGCAAGCACAAAGGCTGGGAATCACAGAGGAGGACTTTGCACTGCAGCAGTGGTGGGGCAACCTGAGATCTCGCCCAAAGATCGCCTAGATGCATGGCAGCTGCGCAGGCTTCTTGCTCGTGCGAAGGCGCAACTGCCCAAGCGATGGGCCATCACCTGGTCTCTGCAAGGCCGTCTTCGGCCTTCAGTCTGCCGCACAGTTTCGGAGCATCAGCATGCCAATTCCATCAGGTCTAGCTGGCCGTCCGAGCAAAGCTGGGCAAGGATTCGTGGGCTTGGAGCTGTGATTTGTCGGACGTCCAAGGAGGGTAAGGAGCAAGGCCTGGCATATGCTGGAAGGGTGGCTGAAAATATGCATCAGCTGCTCAATGGTGGGAGCTGCGTAAAGACTAGTGTCTTTTTTCGTCCTGGGGGACAGGTCCGCTCATTTGAGCTTCATTGCAGTGTGCTCGGTGGTAGGCGTAAGTTACAAGTGATCAAAAAATGGGTATCCAGTCGCACTTTTGTTCAAAGGACGGGCGCCTGGCCCTGCATCATTCGGTTCACAGGGGGGCAAGCTATCCAAAAATGGAGGGGACTTGGATCCTATTGCTGGGTTAGGGAGGGGTTCTGCCACAAAAAATGGGGGGAGGGGGGTATGCATCCAGTGCAGGGGTTGAAATGCTCATTTTTTCGTGGTTTATGTTGTCGGGGGCAAAAGTGAGCCGACATTTGCGGGTGTAGGGGCCCCTGGCAGCACAAGTGACTCATCGGGGGCAGGACTTCTGCCACGCCTGCCCTTTTATTCCGGTTCCTTGCTTGGTTTGTCAATTCGGTTTTCCTCCTTTCGGTTGTCAATTCGCTTGCCCTGAGGTCTGACCCGAGCTCTTCTCAGCACATGTGGGTATGCATCCAGGAGTCTGCGTGCGCGCTTGGACCCTCTGGCCTTTGGCAACATATTTGTGGGACGTGGCCTGCACGCACAGCATGCTGGATTTGCGCCACGTCTTTGGGGGCATCGTGGGCACCTTGGCCATGTGAATCAAGGTGTGCCACTTTTCCCCCGGGGGCGGCAGCCCGTCATGCAAGCCTCTACGTTTGTGGCTTCTGGCTTCATGCGCTTCAGCAGTCATGTCATCCCTTTGGCATCGAACCTGGTCAGTGGAGTGCTGGTACTCCTGTGGGAGTTTCCGCGCACTATGCCACTGTTTCTCCAGTGTATGTCGAGAAGGACTTCATGCGTGCAACTTTGCACGCCGCGACGTTTGTGGCTTCAGCGCAGCTCCAAGCTTGGCTGCGGTCTGCTGAGCAGCCCGGTCCGTTCTACTCAGCGCGGGGAATTTGCTGGTCGGCTGACCTGGCCAAGGCACAACTTCACTTCTCACAAATGGAAGTTGCTTCAGCTTCTGTCACGGCAGCCCACGAATCTGCCAGCCTCACTTGAGTGGCCAAGTGAAACAGGACTCCGCCCAATGCTTTGCTGGTCTCGCAGCAGCCTGCTGTCAAGCATGTGTGCGGGCATGCGCACGCTGTGTCCTGTTTGCCGAGCAGGCACCGCATGCAAGCGCTGCAATCAGGTCGTTGCTCAGCTGCTTGCTGCCGCGGCCACGTCTCTTTTCAGGCCTGTTGCTCAAAGCGAAGTTATGCAGGGCACAGCTGGTTAGCCGGATCATCTCGTTGGGCCCCTGCACCTGCAGTGACAGTCACATCATGCACTACCGGCCACCTAGCTTGCTGCATCAGGCTGTGTTGCTTGACAGGCTGAGCTTTTGGCACTCGCCTGAGAGGTGCACGCCAAGCAGCTGCATGCAGGGCTGCATCTTGCCACATCCATGGCTTCTCGGAAGCCGACAGCAGGCTGGTGGCGCGCGGACGTCAGGAGTGCCCGGTGCAAGTTTTCAGGTGCTGCCGGAATGCTGCATGTCATCGCTTCTGAAGTTGTTGGCATGTTCCAGGCTTCCCACGCCAAGTTCTGTCCTTTGGCTTGCCGTTGGCACACGGTCTCCTAGTCAGCACGTGACTAGGGCAATGCCCTTCCCCTGCCATGAGAAGTCACGACTTGAAGCGGTTGCTTTGCGGCGATTATTCACTGATTGCCGAGCATGGCCAATGGCCGCCGAAGCGAAGCTGCGGTCTTTGCCGCTTCAACCATCCTCGCGCAGCGCTCTAGAGGTGAGGATAGTGAGGCAAGGCGCGCCCAAAGCCATTCAGCCAGGAGGAGCTGTCGGCTGTGCCCTCCGCCTGGTTTCTGTTGCAGCCCGCACTGATGCTATGCACTCAGAGTGGCGTGCGCTGGATCGGCCAGCTGAGCCCAGCCGGTGCATCAATGCGGCGTTCAGCAGGCTGTTTGCACAGTGCTTCGCACACCCCCTTTCCAAGCGCCGCTTCAATGCCATTGCCTTCGCACACAGCTTTCGATCGTGGCATTGTCATTGTACACGCCCTTTGCTGAAAATGATGGGACACCGCTGGGTGGCAAATGAAACTGGCGCTGCGCAGAGCCGGCTGCAAGCATTCACTCAGTCAATTCGGGCTTTGCAATTGGCAACCAGCATGCAATCAGTGTGTAGGTCGCCTCGGCATTGGCCATGTCTTACCGTCCTCTCGCCTCTCCAGAAAGTCCTGGGAACAAATCTCAAGCGTGCAGCTTGTCTACACACTGTTGGCTGCGGGTGTAGGCACGTGGCCTGGACAGCTGGTGTTGGTCCTTTCTTTCGTGCTGTGCGGTTGCTGCTGGCTGTGCCTCTTGGCTGCCCAGCCCAGTTGCTTTTGCGGCATTTGGAAGGCTCCAAGCCCAAATGTGGCAAGCCCTGCAACAAGCAGGCATGAAGTAAGCTGGACGTCCAAGTTTGCCTGCCCTGCCAGTCACAACAAGACCCGGGGCAAGCTTTCTTTCCCTGTTTCTAGCGATGCATGCCTGGCAAGCATGGTCGCATTGCCTTGGGCATGGCGCCCAATTGGCTGCAGCCTCGCCCAATCCGAAAGCCCTTCCAAGTCTTGGAAGCCTTTGCAGGCTCTTTGTCTTCGATCCCTCACTTGGCCCTCAGAGTTTCAAGCGATCATCTTGGCGCCTGAGCATGGGCCATTCCTGCGATTGAAGCTGCCTTTGAGGCACCGGGCTGGAGTTGCGCTGATGGCCATGCATACCCAGTCGCCCAGCAATTTGGGCCACTGGCTCCTTGGAATGCTGATCCAACCGGCACAGGCAGAGTGCGATCAACAGGTATCATTTTTGGATCCTGTTCCGCACTTTGAACTTGGGCAGCTCCGGCCTCTCAGGTTAAGTTCTGACACCTGCGCAAGGTGTCTGAGACTTGATGTAGCGCTCGCTCTGCGAACCGTTTGGCAGGCCGCCAGGTTGGGCTTCCGAGTGGGCCGAGTGGAGCGGCACGTGCTTCACTTTGTTTGCCAGTGGCAATGGGTTCAGCGACCCAAAAGTCCAGCTTGGTGGACACTACGGCATGCTCTAGCACCTGGTTCTCGCACGACAGCCAACTTCGTGAGGGCCACAAGTGGAGCCAGGTATCCAAAGGACTGCTCGGCCAGGAAAGCCTTGCAAGGGCAAATGGTACGGTGCGCGATGGTGCGCTTACAAGGAGAGACAGAACACCCTGTGTTGAACTCCGGCAACACCAGAGTGATGGTAGTTGTCAGGGAAGCCTGGGCTTGGTTCAATTTTGGAGCAGCTGAAGCAGTGGCAGCACTTCACATTCCAGGTGCATTTGCTCAGAGGCTTGAGTTCCAGACTTGGAGCTTTGCATGCTATGGATTCCGCCACGTGCGGACCGCCTGTGGCTGGCAAGCAGTAGCATGCCTCCAAGGAAGTGCACATATTTTTCTTGGGCAGCTTTGTTTCGCACACTCGCTGTCCAGCCTCCAGTCGGTGTGCCAAGCAAAGGGGCGCGCGAACATCGTGTGGGTGAAGGCCCAGCATTTTGTGCAGGCTCAGCCTCGAACGAAATTGATGGCCTGTTTGTTTGCCACGCTGGCATTGCATCAGCAGTTGAGGTTTGCAGAGCTGTGGCAAGCCATCCGGAGGACCGAGGTGCTAATTCGGCGACGTCCCTTGCTTGCTGTGCTGCTGGCGCCAGCCGCCTTGAAACCGGCGGCCAAACGCTCGCATCAAGCGAGAATCAGGCAGGCAGAGCCTGCAGTGCGGCAGTTCTGCGATGCCCCGCTGGCCAGCACCCGGCTTATTCCTGCCAAGGTCTGCCTTCATGGCAACATGCCCAGGATTGACATCCACGCGGTTCTGCAAGGTGGCCTGCCTGTGGGCAGGATGCTGCCTTCCATCACGCTGTCAGTCCAGCAGCAGTTCTTCTTGGCCAACCAAGAGACCAAGTTCTTTGTTTGCCTCCAGCGGATTGCACGTCGTAGTTTGCCAGCGCGTTTGATCAGGGCCGCAGTTGCAGTCCTTCAATTGCGGCACAGTGTGCTCCGCACAAGCTTTGTCTTGAACAAGCACGGGGGCTTTCAGCAGCAAACCGCTACGTGCTTGTTGGACGATGCAGTTGAGGTTTGCCACGTTCAGACGGACGCTGAAGCGATGAAGCGAGCTCATGAGTTTGCGCACGCCCTCATGGACTTGCAGCAGGTGCCAATTCGTGTGCTTTGTGTAGAGATCTGTGGGGAAAGCCCCGAGACGTCGAAGACTATGATAGTCCTCAAAGTGCACCACATTGCCATCGATGGCAGATCCATGGCCATGCTGGACGCCCAGCTGTGTGAGCTTGTAGAGCTAGGTTTGGAAAACGACGCAGGCCTTGAGGCAAAGAAGGCGAGTCGATATTATTTGTGCACCCTTGTCACTTCCGAGTTGCTGCAATTGCTGGAGTTCTTCTTTCACGGAGGTCATTTGCCCGAAGACATCCCGCAATACGCGGACTACGTGACCTGGGTCCAGGATTACATGCGGAGCGCTGAGTATCAGCTGGATTTGGCGCACTGGACAGCTCAGCTGGGTTCTGTGAGCAGTTTGCCGGTGCTATCCATTCCTGTCGACAAGCCAAGACCGCGGCACAGTGGGCTTGATGCTCATGTGGGCATCGTGGACGTGCACTTTCCAGATGATTTCCTGGGACGTTTCAAGTCCACCGATGCGTTCCCATTTGTGCTGACCATCTTTGCTATGGCCCTTTGCCTGTGGAGCCGGCAGGACGCAGTTGTTATAGGGAGCCCAGTGTTTGGTGTACCTTCAGTGGATTTTGCTCGGGTGGTTGGCTGCACTTCGCATTTGATCCCATATGTTATCCAGATGCCACGGCCCTTCTCCTTGCCCAAGCTGCTGCGGGCACTATGCGACATGGTGAGCAGTGCAATGAAACATGGCACGGTTCCCCTGCAAGAATCTCCTTTGTGGCCTGGCAACACTGATGCCAGCCAACCCCATCCCTTGTATCAAGTGATTGTGACCTGGCAGCCGCGGGGTGGCTGGGCAAGAAGGGGCAAGGGCTCGGACGCATGGGAGATGAAGCAGTTCATCGGCCCTTCGCCACTGATGGCAGATTTGGTACTCGATGCCTATGAGAAGGACAAAATTGTTCCCCAGCTCAATTTGGAGGATATGAAGATAATCTGTATTCGGTTGTGATGCTCCAAACTATCTCAAAGCTAGCTGATCCTGTTTTCCATTTTGATTGAGAGTCGTTTTTTAGACATGTTCGCTACCTGTGAATGATAACGCCTAGGTTTGCGGCAAGCTTGCTTTCAACTCGGTCATGTTCCAGAGAGAGCTGATGGCACAATTTGCGCAGAGCCTGGGTGATCTCGCATCCCTTGCAGGGCAGCAGCTTGAGGCGGCTGACGCTTGGTAAGGGCACCTCATGCTTTGCCAGATTTGAAGTTATTTCGCTTTCTTGTTTTTGTGTGTCTTGCTGGCAGCAGCAGACTGGTCAGTGCGGACATGCCCCTAAACTTTACTGCGGCGTTTTCAATTTACATTGAACAAATGCGGAAGAAGAAAGAAAAACATAAGAAGAAAAATATTACTTTGCCTGGATTCTTTGTTGCTTGTCTGGCTGAGGATTTATGGGAGTGGTCAAGCAGCGCTGGTTTGCCTAGCTCAGACCTGTCTCGCGAAACATACGTGGAAGAGGTGGATGGGCAGCGGATTACTTTTCGGCGAAGGGGTCGCAGCATTGCTGCCGCGGGCCCCTTGCAGCAGGGACAAGGAGTGAAAGATATGCTAGCCAAGCTGCAGGACAAGTACCTGGATGTGAGCAGCTTTGAAGTTGAGCCTTAGAAATGCCGAGGCATGGTAGATTCAAGTGTGACCTGAACTTGTGAGTGGGCAAGGTGAGTAGTTGGATGCACTTTTTGTCACGCTGGTTGCCTAACAATCCATTCTGTAGATTAATGGCAGCCAGAAGAGACTAGTAGATGTGCTCTCCGAAACGGAGAGCGCAGGGCCTTTTCTTTTTATATAGCCCCCAATCCATGGACACACTGTTTGGCGAAAAATGGAAGAAGGTGCTCTTGCCTGCGCCTTCTACCGTCAAGCAACAAGTCGCCGCAACTTGAGCAAGCATGCCGCGGCCTTGTCGCCTGCAGCATCCGGCATCCATTGGTATTTTTTGGGTGCACGCAGTCCCTAGTTTCCCATTCCAAATACCGCTAGTGCTAGCAGGCACTAGCCTCCCAAAGATGGACGAATTGTGGCTTGGGGTTGAATGGATGGACTACCTAGAAAGAACTCGCAGATCGTTTCCCAGTGCTGCAAGGCGTGGCAGCGAGAGTCTGCCAATCCATAAGCACGAGCCCTTTTGCATTTAAATCGGTTTTTGATTTGCTGCTTCAACATCTAGCAGGCTGACTGGAAGCTTACCATTTCTGGCACGTTCCCGCACATGGAAGCCATGGCTTCGTTTGCAGGTTCAGTGGCTGTCGGCACATCCCTCGATGCAGATGCGGCAGCGGTTTCAGCACAGAACGCCCCTCGCATCCAAACAGTTTGGCTAGCTAGATGGTACGTCGACGGCCCCCTCTCCGTCCCATGATTCAGGATAGGTTGACGGCCTTGGGGGCGTTCCGAGGCTGGCGCTGCGCAGCTGCGGCACGCGGCCTGAGAAGGCGGGCGATGAGACGGCGACGTGCAGCTTCACTCGCTCAATGAGGTGGGAGAGCCGACTCGGTCAACCTGTGCGTCAGGCCTTGCCGCAGCGCTCCTATGTGGCTGCGTCTTGGTCCAATTGTAGTGGCCGTGGGTGTGGCCTGGAAACATTCTGATTACGCCTCATCCCCTTTTCACCTCTCGTCGCTGTGCTGGATATACTCCCCTTTCTTCCAACTGGCTTCAAAAGTAGTCCAGCAGTGGCTCTGCCTGCAGTTGCTTTGTCTAAGGAATTCCTGGCCAGAGGCAAGATGCAGCAGACTAGCCGAACCAGACGAGGCAGGGTCCTACGAGCATCTTGCAGGGCGAGTCCTCCATGTAAGGCTTGACAGGACAATGGACATGTGCCTCTCGTGTATACCATGCGGTACTGCGCCGCTCACGCAATCAGCCATGTCAGCTTGGCTTCGCGCTGCCAAGAGGTCCTCAGGTTCTTGCAGCTCCTTTTCGCGATTTGCCCTTCTGAGGCCTGGGCCCCTCTGTCGGGCCTGCACCGTCAAGGTGGCAGGCAGGAGTCAGCGAGTGCCAGGGGCTCTCTCCAAAGGCCTCCAAAGGTTGCTCAGTTTGGTTTTCGAAGAGGCCCCTGGCCAGGGATGCCGCGCTTTCCGCACTGAGCTCTTGTCCCGCGGTTGCCGTTGGCGAGGGTTGCCCACGCTGGGCCAGGATCTGAAGGAAGCAGGGGATTCCATTTAGCCTTTACAGAGCGTGCTCCCATTTTGGAGCTTGTTTGCCTTCAACATGAGAGATGTTTGCAAACTTAAGGACCTCAGATTGCAATCTCGTCGAAGCTGCATCTTTCCGTGTTGTGAGGCTGCTTTGGTAGCAGCGGGTCGGAGTCTGCGCAGGAGGCGATGGGTAGCAGTTGATTAGCAGACTGTTTTTGTTTCAGACCAGTGTGCACGGCACCTCTTTTCTTCCGGAATTGATGCTTGGCTGCCCCGACGGTCGTTGGGGCCAAGCTCAAAGTGCTTACTGTACATGCTTGCAGTCGCTGGCCAGGGTGCCTGATATTGCCAGTTTCGCAGCTGCTTTGGCCGTGGCTCGGCTAGACACATCAGGGGAGTGGGGGGGCGGGGGGGCGGCGGCCGCATGATCCAAAGAGGTTTGCAGCTGGGAGTGGGGAGCGGTTAGAGGCTGGCACGATCAGCCGACGCCCTTGCCAGATACACCACCTTCGGCCGCTACACCTGGTTACTTACCCACCTTTTGCACCGGCAACCAGTGCCACCTTTCAGTCCACCCTTTCTCAAATAAATGTTTGTGTGTTTTCAAGTTCTATTTGTCGTGCGTTCAGGTCTCAGCGTGGTGGCCAGCGGCTACTAGATTTGCAAGGGCTTGCTTTTGCCTCCTTGCCACTTGTGCAGGGCACAACATATGGAAAGGCCATGCACGGTTTGCACAGCTCGCAGAGCTTCCGTTCTCACTCAACGAGCAGTGCCCTGAGGGTTGTGGACCCTTTAAAAGGGCCCCCTGCCAGGTTCCATGTGAATTGGTGGGAGGGTGCCGGTGATTTGCTCCATGCATAGAGAGGATGGACCCCATTTGCGGACCTGATTTAATGTGCTTTTGAACGTGCTGCTTGGTTTACTATCCAGACGTAACCCACAAGGACAATGTGAAGGTTGAGGCGTTAACCGGTTGTGCCTACTTGAGGCTTGCCAAGAAGCTGCCCAGTGGCGCCAGGCATTGCAGCTGTTTCTGCAGCTCCCAGAAGGCCGGAGGAAGTGCCGAAGTGCCCCGCTTCTGGTTGTTTCGGAACGCGGGTGCGGGGCTGTGCTTGGGGGCTCGCCACGGTACCCCCCCTTCTTCCCTTCACGTCGCGAGGCCGGGCGTCTGCGCGCTTGGCGGTGCTGGGCGCCTGCGAGCGTTCGGCCATGTGGCGCCAGGCGCTGCTGCTGCGCCTTCCGCCCTGAGGGGGGTGGAGTCGAGGTCAGTCCTTCAATGCTTCAGTGGTTCGTTTGGTTTATCCAGGATTTATCCGTTATCCTTCTTCGTCTTGCGTTGAGGGCGTGGCACACAGGTGCATCACTCACGGCAATTCAGCCTTCCTTTCTTTGTTCTAAATTGGAATCTGCATTAGGGGCCCCAGTGGCAGCCAAAAGGACCTATAAAATCAACAATATGTGTAGCTCAAGCATGGCTCAAATGGCGCCCTGTTAGCGCAGGCTCACAATTTGTTCAATGGCTGACGAAGAGGCTGCTACGTACAAGGCCCTTCGGATTGAGGGGGATGAGATTGAGAATCATCAGCTAGATGCCTTGAGAGAGGAGTTGAACAAGCTGCAGGGTGAGGAGATAGATCTGGCTGAGCACATGCAATTGCTGACCCAGGCCTATCACGCAAGGAAGGCCCCCTTGCAGAAGGACTACGACCTGATCTGCGTGCGCATGCACAGCCTTGAGCTGGAGATTTGGTCTCTGGAGCACGGGGATGAGCAAGAAGCTGCTCCCGGGCCTGAGGCGCTGTCCTTTGTGAACGGCAATGCTTTCGGATGCCTTTGCTCCTTGGTGATCCTGGCCAACCTGGCGTTGATGGCCCTGGAGTATCGCCAAGGTTCAGAGCAGTACCAAGCTTGGGACCTCGCTTTCCTTGTCTTCTATGTGGTGGAACTGGTGCTCAAGGGCGCGTACTTCCAAAAGACTTTGCTTTGGGGCAAATGCTCGGTGGTGTGGTGGAACTGGCTGGACCTCATCATTGTCTTGAGCGGTGTCTTGGAGCAAACCTTGTTGCCACTGCTGGGCAGCGGCAGCCTGCCCATCCACTTGTCCAGCTTGAGATGTCTGCGGCTGCTGCGGTTGGCCCGGGTGGCGCGGGCTCTGAAGCTGATCAAATTTGTGCTGCGCTCGGACCTGTCATGGACAGAGCATCCGGCCTTTGAGACTTGCATGATGGCCGTGATCATGATCAACGCCATTGTGATGTGGCTTGAGCTGGACTATCCAATGCCAACGCTCCCCGTTTGGACCTGTGTCGAAAACACACTGCTGGTCATCTATGCCTTTGAGCTTTTTGTTCGAGTGGCATTCCATGGACTAGGGTACTTTTATCATTCAGACTGGGCCTGGCACTGGTTGGACTTTGTGGTGGTCATGCTGGGTGTCTTGGAGCAGTGGATGCTCCCGTTTTGGGGGTACATCTACGAGCTGGCCACTGGCTCGCCGATGCATTCGGTTGCGTCCATTCCTTTCTTGAAAGTGATGCGCGTCACTCGCGTGGCTCGCGTGCTGCGCCTGGCACGGCTTTTGAGGAAGGTGCGGCCTTTGTACCAACTGCTGAATGGCGTCGCGGCATCCTTGCAAGGCGTCGGTTGGGTGATCCTGGCGACTTTCATGATGCTCTACTCGGCGGCGATTGTATTTACCACTATGGTGGGGAGGGGCTACATCTATGACAGTCCAGATGAGATACCTGAGGAAGCGAAGCAACATTATGCCACAGTCGCGAGATCGCTCCTCACCCTCTTCAAGCTGATGAATGATGACCAGTCTGTAGTGGAGCCGATTGTGACCACTTGGATCGGCCAGCTTCTGTTTTACTCCTTTATGATGCTGTCGAACTGGATGGCATTGGCCATCCTAACCTCGGTGGTCAGCGACAACATGATCACGGCCTCCCGCCAGCATGACGAGCACGAGGCCATAGTGCAAAAGCAGATGCAACATGAGCGCGCGAAGGTGCGACTCAGAAAGATCTTGGGGGACCTGGACAGCAACCACGACGGGTGCATCACGGAGCTGGAGCTGGCGCAGTTCCTGAAGGACGAGCTGCAGCAGCAGGAGCTCTGCGAGACCGCAGGCCTGCGCCCTGCAGACCTGGTGGAGATCCTCTACTGCACCGGCTACGAGACGAAGGAGGGAGAGAGGATGCTCTTGTACCGGCAGTTTTTGCAGATGCTCCAGGAGGAATCCGGCCCAGTCTCAGAGCGGAGTATCTTCAAGATCATGGAAAGGCTTCGGGCCATGGAGTTTCGGGTCGAGCGGCGACTTACGGCAGTGCTGGAAAAGCTGGGTGCGGAAGATGCGCTTCCCTCCTTGCCATCTTTAGAGCAAGAGCTCGATCAACTAAGGCGCCTGGACGATTCACCTGCGCGCTCTCTGGTGA